TCTTAACAGTAAACACTGTTTTGTGCTAAAATTACTGAGACATGGCAAGCACAAATGTGATTATGGTGCTCTTTATCCATGGTTAAAATTGGATCTTCGTATGCTCTCGCTATATTGTGCCCTTTATAGTCTTAATGAACAATGACTCCACTGAAATTTAATATTTGCATTTAATTCAGATATTGCCTGCTCATATCATAAACAAGAGTGTAGACATTACTGCAACTGTTGTATTGTGTATTTTATTTATTTACACATATTTTACATGTGGCTACTGTATGAAGGAAAAGTATTCTTTAACTTCCCACCCACAGACGTCAACACCAAGAAAATAGTTTCACCGTATCCTTTTCTCAAAACCATTGACAACTGCGTGATCATGAACAAAGATAAGAATCAGACATCTGAGAGGATCTTGAATCTTACGCTTGAGATCATCTACCTGCTGACAGGAGAGGTGAGGTTCTTAGCATATTACGTCATGATTATTTTATACTGTTTAACAGGGCTCTATTACAGTTGCAAGAAAAAGTATGTGAACCCTTTGGAATGATATGGATTTCTGCACAAATTGCTCATAAAATGTGATCTGATCATCATCTAAGTCACAACAATAGACAATCACAGTCTGCTTAAACTAATAACACACAAAGAATGAAATGTTGCCATGTTTTTATTGAACACACCATGTAAACATTCACAGTGCAGGTGGAAAAAGTATGTGAACCCCTAGACTAATGACATATCCAAGAGCTAATTGGAGTGAGATGTCAGCCAACTGGAGTCCAATCAATGAGATGAGATTGTAGGTGTTGATTACAGCTGCCCTGCCCTATAAAAAAGACACACCAGTTCTGGGTTTGCTTTTCACAAGAAGCATTGCCTGATGTGAATGATGCCTCGCACAAAAGAGCTCTCAGAAGACCTACGATTAAGAATTGTTGACTTGCATAAAGCTGGTAAGGGTTATAAAAGTATCTCCAAAAGCCTTGCTGTTCATCAGTCCACGGTAAGACAAATTGTCTATAAATGGAGAAAGTTCAGCACTGCTGCTACTCTCCCTAGGAATGGCCATCCTGTAAAGGTGACTGCAAGAGCATGAGGTGAAGAAGAATCCTAGAGTGTCAGCTAAAGAATTATAAATGCTAACATCCCTGTTAGCGAATCTACAATATGTAAAACACTAAACAAGAATGGATTTCATGGGAGGATACCACAGGAAGCCACTGCTGTCCAAACAAAACATTGCTGCACGTTTACAGTTTGCACAAGAGCACCTTGATGTTCAACAGCAGTACTGGCAAAATATTCTGTGGACAGATGAAACCAAAGTTGAGTTGTTTGGAAGAAACACACAACACTAGGCCATCTGTCTACCAGCTGAAGCTCAACAGAAGATGGGTGTTGCAACAGGACAATGACCCAAAGCATAGAATTAAATCCAGTGGTGTATCCTGGTTATGTGCTGCCCTAGGCAGGACAAAACTCAGACGCCCCCCAAACACCCCCACCAACCCCCTCAAGCGCGTGCAACCCCCACCCATCCCTTCCCCCCCCGCCCCGCCTTCTAAATACACACACACACTCACTGACAGATACGCATACAATAGCTAACAGAAACACAAACTCACTGACACACACAGACACTCACTCACTCACTCACTAGCAGACACACACTCACTGACACACACACTCACAGGCAAACATACACACACAGTCAGACACACACAAACACACTCACTAGCGGACACACACTAGCAGACACACACACTCACAGGCAAACACATTCACACTAACAGTCAGACACACACTAACAGTGAGAAACACACACACTAACAGTCAGACACACACACACACTAACAGTCAGACACACACTAACAGTCAAACACACACACACACTAACAGACACAGTCACACACACACACACACACACTGAGAGACACAGACACACACACTCACA